CTTCACCGAGTTTGCAACATAATTCACACTGATCTCAAACCTGAAAATGTAATAAGTCCTGAAATTCTTTGCAAACAGCGTATCGAACGATAAAGTACTTGGTGATATACGCTAGGCCCTAGCGTGTATTAGTGCATCTAAGATGATGAGTTGCCCACGACCACAGTACAGGTGCTGGTATGCTGTCCGAGAAACGTTCCTGTAGACAAGCACGGTGTACCTCTGATAAGCGGTCAATGCTTAACGCATGAGGAGGACGATGACAAGCAAGAGGGTAGGGTTATATAGGTTTTGCTGAGCATAGACGGCTATGGATAGATACCGAGGATAAGACTACCTTGAGTCGGCAAGAGAGCACACCTCATGAGCGTTTCATCGTAGTGGCTGACTGTTCACCTAGTGACGCCGAGGATCGTCCTACTGGTGCCGAGGGTAGTAGCGGGATCATATTAGTATGTTTGAAAATCATCCGCAACGTGAAGTGGTGATGGTTATGGTATGTCTTTAGTCATTGTTAATCGATTACAAATTGGAATTATAGTAGAAGTAGATGCTAGTAGTACACATCGCCTCTGTGAGTAGTACGAGTTTATGTCAGTTGAACCGAACCGTCCATTGACGAAGACTGAGAAGAACAGGTTGAAGCGTCGGAAGCAGAAGGAGAAGCGTCGCGCGGCAGCGGCAGCAGCAGCTAGACAAGAGCAGGTAGACACTAGGGTGGTGTTGTGGAGAGGGTGGGGTACGAGAGTAATGTATAAGTAACTGGTATAAGGTATGTCGTAGTTTTTGATCGCTACTATGCCTATCAAGATAGGAACGGTTTGATGTGGGTATATTATAATGAAATGGACGTGTTCGAAGTGTTATGGTAGTGGTAGTAGGAATTGATGTTCCTGAGGTACTCCCCACTGCTGCTCCTACACTGTCGTCATCGGCACCATCCTCTGATCGCTGTAGTGCTGAGGGATCTAGATGTTCCCCACCTTATGTTAGATCGACGGTTAAGCGGAGCATGTAAAAGATACTTTCCGTGCCCGGAAGAATGGATTCGGATTAGGTCCGACCCGTCATTACTGACGACCTACCCTGAGATGCAGAATGAGCGCCTTCATCGTATGCCGTATCATCACTTGGAGTACGCCAAGATTGGCGACGTTGGAGAGCATCGACAGAATAAATCAGCAGGAGGAATAAGTACTACTGGTGGTATAACAATACAAGGCTGCTACCTCAAGTGACATAGTAAAAATATAAGTGATATAAAAAACATGAACAATGATCAGCTTGAAATTGGCGCGAGGTGAAATAGACACCTGGCATTCGCGTTAGGTGGGACGGGGGCTACCAGTACGGCTGATAGTAGTGGGGGCCCAAGACGACAGGTCAAGGTTGACGAGGATGATATAAGACTGCCTGGATCTGAGAGTGAGTACATAGTCGGGAATTGGAATTTCGTCACGCGTTTTACGTGAAGTGGCGTAATACTCTGTGAAAAACGCGATATTTGCGGTGATGTGGAGTAGTCGTGAAATATATTCCCATATCGTGGGCGAAACTCTGTTATCTTGAGTTATTTCCATTATCGACAAGGTCCCGATTCCGCGACTTTACTACCCCCGGGCGCTCCTTCTGCTACTGCTGCTGTAGTCGACGATACACAGCGAGGGCGGCATGCTTACGAGCTGGTGTCGGAGGCGGAGGTTCTTGGTCTCGATATATTCGATCATGACAATGTTGCGTAATAGGGGTAATCTTGAGCGGAGCGAAGCAGGGATATTAACACTAACACGCGGAATTACTTATCGAACCAACATGAAGTTTTCTGTGTGTATAAGGAACGTCACGATAACACCAGTAAACTTGGTGGCGAACTTAGTATATTTTATTTACTCAGATTCAAGATTGCAGATCTTGGAAATGCTTGCTGGACTCATAAGCATTTCTCTAACGATATCCAAACACGTCAGTATCGCTCTCCTGAAGTGAGTTACATGCCTTCGACTGTGCTACAGTGATGTGGATTCGGTCAGGTTATTGTTGGTGCCGGTTATGATAGCAGCGCTGATATATGGTCGTTCGCCTGTATGATATTCGAGCTCGTCACTGGTGATTACCTATTTGATCCTAAGGCTACAGAGTAGTACATCATCTTGTTCTGCTTATGTTCGCCGGAGTGCGGTATGATCTCAGGGATTACCCACGAGATGAGGATCATTTAGCGCTGTGTATGGAGCTGTTAGGGCCGATACCGCATAGGCTGGCTTCGCAGGGACGACATAGCAAGACGTTCTTCAATAGGCGGGGGCAACTGAGGCATATCAAGAATCTTAGGCATTGGGGTGAGCTTATTGTTGAGATCACGAATTGATCGACGCGTGGTATGATATAAAATTACAGTCTGATGAGACGCGGGCGCTTTACTGCATCTTGTGGACTCATTTCATAGTTATGGCTTTTCATGTGTGTTTCAAATGGGATCTTCAACGTTTATCATTGTGTGCTCTGGACATGATCAAACTGTGTTGAGTGATGTTTCAGGTCTGTACCATGTGCTCCTCCAGAAGTATAATTTGAGTCGCAAAGATGCTACGGAACTCACTGATTTCCTCTTGCCTATGCTGAGTAAGTTTGCCATGGACTTGATCAGCATCGCGGATCTCAAGTATAGATATGGACCCGAACAAACGAGCAACAGCTGAAGAGATGTTGAAGCACCCATGGCTGCGTGGCAATCCCTGTGGAGGCAGCGAACAGTTTGTTGATGATGAGAATGAAATTAATGGCAGCAATGAGTACGATCACGAGGTCAAGCCTGATGATGAATAATCGATCGCTTGATCGATTTGAGTACATGGCGATGTTATTCACCATCCCGATGGTTTTATTCCACTGCGAACGTGAAGCTCTTCGATGGGAAGAACTATAGCCAGTGACTGATGAAAGTTTCTCTTTGTACCATTCAAGAAGCTAATATTGAACCTGTAATTTGAGGACGTTTTCTGTAGGCTATTGGTGAACTACGATAGTAGTGATTCTGCTTGGGTTCGTTACAGGGCGACAGTGGTGATTATTTTCAGAGGGGGGTCGATAGAGTTGAGAAGCTCAGTCACAAGTATCAGTGATGAGGGTATGTCGAGTGACTCGATAAGCTTCCGTCCGCGTGCTTCGCGAGGTGGGTTGAAGAGCCTCGCCAAAAACGTGAGATAAACTTTCAGACAATCACGCGAGATATCAACGTCCGAACTTAGTGACCGCTGCTTGAGGATGAGATCAATACGATGTATATAACCACACATTGTACCATCGTAGAGAAAGATTTTGCCCACAGTCATTAGTATCAGAAGTGTCAGTAGTTTCACGAGTCTCATGGCTCTATTGGTAGTTTACGTGTCGTGTTATTAAAGGGGTGGAGTGTACTAGCGATCAAGGTGTAGCGAAACGAAGCGAACTGAATTGAAATGGAACACTTTAAGAGGATTAATGAGCAGGTTTTGTAAACAGTTCACATGGGAAAAAAGGGCGCAAAGAAACAAGAAACAATTGGGGTAAGGGCACACTATCGCGGGGATGACAATGGTCCCTTATCGACTCCCTACGATAGGAGGGCACAAACTGGCAATCTACTAGATTATACCTTTGATGGTAGGTGACGATGAAACCAGAAGAATTGTATGACGAGCTCGAAAATGGAGTAAAGAGCATTGAACAGGAGCTAGAGATACGAACTCGCGCTGCTGAGGATCATACCAGAATATTTCAAGAATACAAACGAGAGGTAAACTGTGGATTGATGGAAATATGGGGCGGCAGTGAGTGGTACGTATGCGCAGCAGGTTGATAACGTAGATGAAACAGGAAGGCTGAATAGAATGATCACTACAAGCGTAGTAGGAGACCACGCACGGAGGTAGAAAGTCGTGAAATAATAGAGGATATGTAGCTCAGTGGTAGAGCGCCAGGTTTCAGAGCAGCCGATCCCCGGTTCAAGTCTTGCCGCGGCTTAATGTGCCTCATATATTCGTTCTCTTCAGATACAAGGCAACGCAAGACGTCCTCATCCAAGAAATCAATTCTTTGGAAACAAATTTGGCGGAACTCCGCGAGGATCGAGAGATTTGCGTCAACGAGATGGAGGAAATGATCCGGGATAAAGTGAGCGAACGATTCTCTCTCATCTTGTGAGGTTCTACGTGCAGGCGAAGGAGTACGAACTGAAGGAAATCAAGGAACAAGAAGCCCGGGATAAAGTGGAGCAAACGGCTGCTGAGTTCATCTCAATGATGGAGGAACTCATCACGAAGCTCCAGTAAGAATCTTTGAAAAGTCGATCGGAATTTGCAAACCAACCGGCTCCGTCTGTTGCATCAGGAACGCCATCAAAGCAACATTGCCTGAGGGCGAAGGTTACTCTTCAGCCATTCAACTCGCAACTTCGGACCTCAGCAACCTCGATGAATCAGATCGTCGGAGACTCGAAAGGAAGGCCAGGGATTTCTCCAAAGAGATGCAGAAAGTAAGAGCGGATATTAATTCTGGATAACAGCAGTATTTCTCTATAGGAAGTGTTAGAGAAGATACGCGAACTCGAGACCCCAGCCGTATCGGACTTACTAAGTGAAGATGAGAGTCTTGCTGTTCCCCAATCGGCCTGATGCCGATGACTATTATTCTCTACGGGATGTGACCGAAAGGACCATCGATTTACAAGTCAATTCTACCCGACTTCATAATCATGCAAACCACCTTCGCCACCAAAGTTGTCATTCGTTAACTCAATCTATGTTGTGTTAATCACACAGGGTGACTTACGCGTCTAATAGGACTTTCGACTTCACTCGAATTCACATGGTTGAGGATACTCCTCCACAGCTGGAGTCTCTCCAACCAACTGGTGAGCCTACTGGGAAGTCAGAGGGTTAGAGCAATTCCCTCAGATGAGGTGTCCCCGAGAGACGACGCCGCTGATTTCCACGACCCTACGGACCTCTCTAGCCAATGGCACTGGCACCAGGCCTTCAGGGACACAGTCAAAAACATGTAAAGCGATGAAATTGTATTGCTCAACAACACGCGAGATTTCACAGGTACCGCACCAACTACCACGACATGGTTAACCTGAGAGAAGTGGCTGTCCGTAGCGACTTCCCCTCGGGCTATGCCGGGCACGTGCCCGTGGTAAAGCACGACATACTCTTCAAAAACACCAAGCTATGGCAAGACTTCCAGCACGAATTCAATAGGGAAGACGTGAGCCCTGTAGGAGTGAGTTGCACAGCCCAAGGTAATACCCATTCGATGCGATGATCGCAAAATGTCAATTATAATATCAGATGACATGAGAGAATTCCGAATGACCGACAGACTGCCAGCATTCGGTGGACAGAAGGCTGGTGTGCCGCAGTACTGTCAAAATCCTCGAGGAGCCAATAAGGTTAGGAACAAACAACAATAAAACATATTCGCCGAGTACGATGAGCAGATACCCAGAGAGGTTTTCCAGAAGATCAACGGGCCAATAGCTGTTAAAGGAGGCGGCATCAAAGCACCTTATGCTACTACACCACCAGTTAGAAAGGTAACTCAATTGAGCTGCATCAACTTCGCCGATCACTTACTCTTTCCCAGCCCCCAGGACCCCGCAATGTACCACCCAGCCCATTTTATACAGGATGATATACACTGCAGAAATGCTGCAGCATACATGTTGGATGTGCCACGTTGAAATCCATGACGAGTTCAAGTTGGAGTGGTAATGTTAATTAAAACTAAACTAGACACAACGTTGTTCATCCACCGGAACGGCTTTTGAGGATATTCGCCAAATTGGGGGACACCAGAGCGGTACATAGGGGGGATTACTTCTTGCTCTTCTTCTCGAGCTTCCTCATGTAGAAGGCAAGCTCCTCACCCTCAAGGATGTAACCATCGGCACGGCCGGACTGACCAGGGCGACTCGAGATGCAAGCCAGAAGACGGCCAGCGGCGAACTGCTCCTCAACAGCGGGGTCGAGGTAGCGATCGGCACGACGAGCCTTCAGCTTGGCAACGACGGAATTGGACTTGCCGGTAGTATCAACCTCCGCAGCACCCTTCTTGCCTGAAAACGAACAACACGAGTAATAACCGCCGCACTGGAAGAGTAATGTATTACTGAGCTCGATGCCGAAGTGCTGCTCGTACCACTGCTTGAAGGGGGCGGCATCAATCTGGACGATGGTGTTCTTGACCAAGGTGTTAGTACGGACCAACTCGTTGTTGGAAGCGTTGTAGACAGTGTTCAAGATACGAGTCTTACGAGAGACACCTTCGGAACCCCAAGAGTAGTTACCGGTATCCAAACGGAGGGCACTAAAAGAAAACAATAAGAACATGACTATCGAACTTGAGGAGGAATTACCGGAACTTGAGGTTGCCACCGCGACACCTGACAACGCGGACACGCCTGTTGCCAAGCTTGGTCATAGCAGCGGGGCGGCCGAGCTCGAACTGACGCTTCTTCTGATGGATGGCACGGACACCTCCGGTAGCTCTGCAAAGGAGAAGAAAAGAATAACAAAAGGAACCAATCGGGCGGTCAGTCCGTGGTTGAAGGTCGCCGGCATAGGACGCCAAAACTCAATGAGAATATTTCACACGATGCCAGCGAGTCCCTCTACTATAACGACATGAGTAATAGTCGACGTTTTACCTGTGCTTGTGACGACTATCCCTGCTGATTCCCATGGTTGGTGAATGAAGCCGAGATGAAGACGGTGGTTAATAGCTATTGGGAAGTTAATCGATCACTTGGGCGCGCGCTATAATTCAGATCACTGGTCGTCGTGCGGTTAGCGTCGGTATCCTTGTCGATCAACTCGTGCTCTACTGCTCCTAATACGAGCCTCCTATTGAAGGCTACATGATACACTTCCAGTAGGGAGTCTCACGGCAGAATATTCGAGCTGGCATTTTAAGCCGCTCGAGCTTATTCGACACGTATTTTGTGTTAAAACGCCGTAGTAGGCATTTTTCATGACCAACACATAAAGGGAATTATGTCTTATGGGATTGTTAAGGCAACACTCTCGCTTCAGAAGATGAGGCATACATCTATCATCACTTTTCTGTAAGTCACTTGTCGTATAAACACTACCATCAATGCTATCTTTGACGAAACGATAAAAGCGGCGGATGTCGCCCCAATGGACCATCTCAGTGATGTTCTACAACGTCATCAGATAGAGATAGAGTTAACTCGACGAAACGTTGTTCATTGTCAATTGGTCACTGTCGATGCAATAAGAGGGATTATCGTATCGGAAGGTGTTTCCCGAATGGTAACTACTGTACTGCAGTGCTATGATACCGTCGCCGCAGTTATACAGCAATAAATATCAATCAAATGTGCCTTGCTGTGTAGTTTTAAGTGAGTCTTCCTCTATAATGATTGTGATGGTAACTTAACACAATGCTAGAACCATTGCACCCTCCTTCGAGAGGAACGATGTATGTAAGTGTAGTAGCAGCAGCAACTAATCTAATCATTAGTAGTACGCGAGATCGATCCCCGGTAAAAGCAATTCATAATACCAACCAATCATCATAGCCAATCGCAAGGAGAGGGTATTCTTCGTCATCACAGACAACACAAGGATCCTTATCAAATTTATCTCTATCAATTATGCATAAAATGGCGTCGGCGACTGTCAAGTATGCTGGGTCGCTTGCTCAAGGACCTGCCCACCAAAAAAGTCGAATCTCGTCGAGTTCGTTACCGCGCGTCTCTCACATTCTCGTGGGTATAGGGCTCGAACTTATGACCATCACCACGGAAGAATTTCGACTGGAACTCCACCCAATGCAACCTAAAAATCACAGCGGAGCGAAGCAGTTCGAGCATCTTTGGTATAAAACTACCTCAAAACGTGGAGGAAACACTCGAGGACGTCCATGCCCATCAGGACCGCTAGTGTTATACCGAAGAATATCGCGAACGATATGTAAATTCCGATGGCATTGATTATATACGGTCCATTGGCCATAGCATGGAAGACCTAATGAGAACAGCAGTGAGAGAAAAAGTCGCTATAAGCATTACGGTCATCTCTAGGAAGACCAAACTGAGCTGTTGATGGGCGAGGGACAATGCCCAGAGACGGAGATAGGAAGCTGTGTGGGATACCGTACCAAGGACAAACTGCAATACAGAGTATTTATAATGATGCTGATAGTGCTGCCTCAGTGACTACCTCGATGGTTTCGATGACCTGATGTATAACTACATCTCCCAAGTCGAACTCCTCATCCTCGCCAGCCTCTGCCTTCATTATCGTCGATGATGATGAGCCTCCCACAGTCTACAGGGAATCGCAGTACCAGGGCAGCATCGACCACTCGAAGACGTACCATTTCCACAGCATCTGTTTGATGGTCCATAAGCCCAAGCCCAGCCTCGTCACGACGTCGCACTGCATGGGCTCGCTGCCGTTGCATGAACTGTTCGCTGAAGACCAGTAACAATTACTTCAAACAACGACGCCAATACTCGCCGGCTTACTCAGATTGTCTATGCTTCCACCATAGTATAACTGGTTTGGGCACCAGCATTAGAGGGACGCTGATTACCGCTAGGAATATGAGCAACGACTGGACCCAACCTTGGTCTGATGACAAAAAAATCATCCCCTCGAGAGTGACTACTCTTACCAGGATAGAGAACTTGGCCTGGCTTAACACCCTGACCCAGTGACATCGCTATGAGGGTGTTGATGAGGCCCGGTGCTGGGTTGAAAGAGATATCACGGGTCCACTTATACCTAATAGTAAGTACAGCGTCTACGTTGAAGACGGGACAGAGATAGTAGTACAAAATCATCCAGTCCATATAGCCGAAAATGCTGACGAGGAATACCAACTGAAAGGAAGCGAGAATGAGCGCTCAGCTGCGACAATCTCGACAAGGACGATATGATGGTCCGAGCCCCGCACGGTAGTAATAGTAGTTAAAATAGTAAAGGCCAATACCACTCTCCGAGCACAAGATGAAATGCCCTATGACTACCTGCGGTATGCACTCGAAAAAGAAGTCCACAGCACTACGGTCGTATACCGCATTAGAGAACTTGAGAAAAATGCCCAGTAGCATTTGGACAACGCCTGAAAAAAGACCATAAAAATACTGCTGCTGACGATCGTGAGTGACGCCTCACCGAAAAGCACTGAGATCTTCATCTTCATCGAATTCACATACACGAGCTCATTGGTAGCACCATGCCACACAGGGTCCAACCCAAAGGGATACGGCCCAGTGTATGGATAGGAACCTAATACACCACATTAGGGTGGTCCTGACTTCACACGCTACTACTACTACTACTACTACTACTACTACTACTACCCTGTTGATTTCCGGTATTGGTGGTATCATATAATGGACGGCAGGTGATACCAGAACAATCCCAGCTGAGCAAATGACATAGCCAACGATAGCGCGCCATAGGTAGACTATTACCGACTACCGAAGAGGTTGAGCCCCACCGCAAAGAAATCGTTATACATGAGACCTGTGAAATGATAGAACGGTTACACACGAGTATAGATAGAACGATTATACGTTTAACGTGAAGTGGCGTTAAACTCGGTAAAAAACGCGATATTCGCAGTGATATGCAGTAGTCATGAAATATGTTTTTCACTAGTGTTTTTCATATCACTAGGGTGAAACTCCATTGTTTGGGTTGCTAATACTACCTGCGAATATGGCGAAAAAGCCCATAGCCGTGACCATGAAACGCATCTTGCGTAACACAGCTAAGGAACGGTCCAACTGCGGTCCCTGAATGACAAGTCAGCTACAATAATAAGAGGCAGATTATCCCTCACTTGAATTATAGCCCAAGTCCCTAGTAGGAAGAGCATAGCACCATGGCCAACGTCCCCGAACATGACACCAAATAGGAAGGGAAAGGTAACGACGGTGAACAGCGCCGGATTAGCCTCTTTATACCGCGGAATGCCGTACCTGTCAAAAACAAAGTGCCGTTATGGACAGAAACCAGACTTATTACGTATCCACTAGATCCTGCGCTATTTGAGTGACCTCATTGGTCTTCATGTAGGTCGGCGGACTCCTACCGCGATGAGCGACTTGCTCCTCCTGGCCCGTCGTAGCGGCATACAGCTGGTCGTGATCAGTCAATAGCATCGCTCCCACCTGAAGTCCCGTGAGTCACTATCATCATTACTACCATCGTTTCTATTCCTACCATATTAGTAGAGCTCATTCGAACCAGTGTATGGCGAATATCATCCTCCTCTTCTGCTGGGTACCAACAGTCGCATCTCAGTGTTACGTCGCCCTCGAACATGTTCAACAAAGTATATATGCCCTTTTCCTAATACCAAAATCGTCTACACAGTCGTTATCAAAATCGCAACAACTGACTTTGGCCAGAAACAGAGCCCAATCCTCAATGAGAGAATTTCCACCGATCCCAACTGGTTCTACCAAATGTTCGATTTCCTCCTGAGTAATACTACTGAGATCACCAACTACACATGTCTTGACCTACCTCTATGAACCTCCTATAGGCATCCAACGCTTGCAGTTTGTCAACTAGAAGCTCATCCAAATCCTGATAGATCCACTCATCAAAATACATTGTCATCACTCACTGTCACTTACCCCCATTCGGGCAGAGGCCTCCGACTCGCTGTGTGGCCAGGGGTACATATGAGCACCGAAGGCTGTGCATATCCTACGTATTTTTTGAGCCATACTTCCAGTGGTTGGAGAGTAACCCTAAAAGAGTAGGGCAAGTCATCAGCGATGACCCCACATGCAATAGGGTGATGCTCACCTGGAAGTAGACCATGAAAACGCTGTAATATTCATTTTCGCCAGTTTTCGCATCCCGAAGTGCTTCCGGAATTTGGACGAAATCTGTGAATCTGATACAAGCAGTGTGGAATCTTCGGAGTGCGCTAAGATATCTTCCCACGTGTTGCCAAATGTGGCTCGGAATAAAACTCTCGCGAACCTCGTCTGATCCGACTGAGACCGACACAAGTCACTCGCGTTGTGAGGTGTATCCACCTTACCTGTAGAACTACCCCAGCAATGCAGCTGACCCCGG